CCCCCCCGCCCCCTTTCTTTAAAGTAGAAGTCTCAATGATTTGGAAAAAAATGAAATAAAAAATGATGCCCCTGCGGGACCTGTGAACTTTTTGTTTTTCCTTGTGGGGCCCTGTCGTTGATGGGCGCCCTTCTTCAGCCCCTCCGTAGAGAAAATATGAGCGATATTATTATTAGTATTAGTAATTTAGTATTATTATTAATTTATTATTATTATTATTATTATTATTTTATTTTTGTTATTTTTATTATTTTCATTATTATTATTATTATTATTATTATTATTATTAACTAACGTTTTGAGCGTCGTAGTACCTGACGAATTTGAAGATGAAGATAGACTGGATGTGAAGTAAGCTACATTGATTGAATCGATCTGTCACGCACGGAGAAGAGCAAAATCCATGAAGATGGATATATTCCTGATACCAATAGACCCTCTGGCTTTTTCTAATTGATTTTAATTCTAATAAGTTTAATAAATAAAAATCGTTTTCTCGTTCTCGGGGTTTTGTTGTCACTCTCCCTTCTGATTTTCATTCGTTGGTTTTTAATCAAATAATAAACGTATCTCAGTATTTTCACTAATTTTTAGTTCTTTGGGGCTCGGCGTTTCTCAGTTTAAGCGTGCTGGAGGTCATCCTGTCGTTAAGCAGGATGTTGTCGATACGTTTAAACCTGAGCCAAGACTCTTGCCTGTTTATCTGTTTGTCCTGCCACTCTTGCAGTTTGAACTGACCGGCCCCATGTGATTCAGAATGATTTCGTTCTGGTCATGTGGTCGCATCTGGATTCGAAATCGGGTCTGTATTTTGAATAGTACGTGGTTGTACCGACTGAGCTAGGGCGGTTCGCAGGAGGGTAAATTTTGAAGGGAAGGTGTACACTATCCCGACTTCAATTCTCGGTCAGGAACAGTCGGGACCGGGATTGGATCGTATAAGGGGGGCATGGGGCCTCGCTGCACCGCTCTCCATATGCACAAAAGACAGAATCAGAGTTAATTTATGGCAGTGCATCTTGCCATGTTCTAGCGGAGTATTCATTAAATTTCTCATTTTGTATGGCAGTGCATCTGGCCATGTTCTAGTGGAATATTCATTAAATTTCTCATTTTGCACATTTGTCGAGTGGTGGTGGTCCATCGGACGTTTCGGCCGGAATAGGCGCGTATGAATGTTTTTGTGATTTAAGACAATGGAATATGTTTTTTTTTTTAATATACAATATTTCGAATGTAATAGTCTATTATTCTAAATGTATCAATGTACTTCAGTAACTATTAATAGCGATGTGGATGATTTTTTTTTTTAATTTCATGTATTTTTGTTTATAACATCTTTCAGTGCATTGTCGTTGTGTTTTTTTCTTTTTGTTCTCTTTTAATTTCATGTAGTTTTGTTTATAACATTTTCCAGTGCATATTCTTTGTTTTTTTTTATTTTCTTTTTTTCTCTCTTTATGCTCAGTTTTAAGTTATGTATTCAATCCTGGTGTGAGTATGGCCTCCCAAAGGTGGTGACGGATTGAAGCGTAGTCCTCCTATCGGACGTGTTTGTTTGTTTGTTTATTTGTTGTTTTTTGTTTTTTTTTCCCCCGAAAGAGGGGGGAAAAAGCAACACGTGGCCGGAAATCCTCACAAACGACCCGGTGAAAAGTTTTTTTTTTTTGTTTGTTTGTGTTTCGGTCGGATTTACGGCACCCACGCAACTCTTCCCGAGGAACGCTTGTTTTAATATTTTATTTTATTTTATTTTATTTTATCCCGATTAGGCGACTGGAGAAGGCGGAATTTCCACGATTTAATATATCATCAACTGAAATTTCGGCGTGTGTATATACGAGGGCCGGTTTAACCAAAAAAAAAAAAAAAAAAAGAGAGCGGGTAGGGCTGTCAGATTCGGAATTCCATAATAAATTTTGTTATGGTTATCACGATGCTTCCTCGTCGAACGTACTTGTCAGCGT